CATTTCACGAGATTTTTTGGATCAAACAAGTTTCTATAGTCTTATACTCGTAATATTGGACTTGACTTGAGTAACATGAGGAGGAGCTTTGTGGGTATCACAAAACCTATTGACATTACAAAATCTTGAAATTTCTAGAGTAAAACTTCGGAAGATCATAACTTTTAACTTGGGTATCCGAATCAGAAGCTTCTTTTTTATTCTACATAACTTTTTGAGAGCTATGTGTTGGGAAATTGCTGCAGAAATTTTTTTGAACATTTATTCGAGTACATGACCATATACTAGAGTATATTGTGTCGAACAACAAATACTCGACTATCTGGGTCATATACTCGAGTATAAACTCATGATACTTGATTTACTCGAGTATAAGATCTTGTACTCGAGTATATTTCATGGTCAACGGTAAAAAATGGGCAGATAGGTGAAATATTTTGATACAGGGAAAAGTGCTATTTTTTATGTAAATAAGGACACAATTGTCAAATAGACCCTTAAATTAGAATCACATGAATTTTATTTTATTTTTGAAATAAAGAAAAAATAAAAACAAGAAAAGTACAAACACTATCTTGACATAACTACTCTCGTAGCATCATTTGTTAGAAGGGGTAAACATTCATCTAGAGTCTCTAAACTCTTGCAAATTCTAACAATATGTATGTGCATGATCTGCGTGACAATCAACATCTTGATTTCCCTCCTTATATGTATGGGAGACTTGAACCATCCAATCTTGCTAGAGACAAATCCAAATTTGTTGCACCAAAGAAGACGTGGGAGGATGCGATTCACACTCTTGAGAGATTAAATCAACGGCTACCGTGGAATCTCCTTCCATTTAGATTTGTCTGAAGCCCAAATTCCAAGTCAGCTCCTGACCAACAAGGCAACCCCATAGTTCCGCCATAAGTGAATTACCCTAACCCAGATATTTGGAAAAGCATGTAGTCCATCTTCCTGGCATCCCTAACTCAGGTATTAAGAATGTGGCTTACATACTCAAGAAGGGAAACAAATTAAGTATTATAAAAGTACATATATATTACAACCACTAAATATATTGCAACCAATATCAATGACAACAATCATATATAACCTTTAAGAGAAGCTAATGTCACAAGCCATGGTAAAAGTACATCAAATCCAACAAAATGTCAAAGAATTGCCATATCTAACAAATCAATCATCAAAATCAAGAGTGAAATCAAGATCCAAGAATCAATATAAGACGGGTCAACCCGCCCTGCCTATTTTTAGTGGGTCAGGACAAATTGATCCATATTATCAACCCTTACTGAGAGTGAAATATATCAATTTTAAAATACTACTAAACAAACATAAAATAGAAACATTTTTTTTTGGAGTTAACTCATCCCCAATTACTTCTTTGAAGAGAGTTGGTTTCCCCTGATATGCTCACAAACTTTGACTCTTTGAGCCAATTATGAGACTAATTCGAAGTGCGGGGCGGGTCAGAGATGAAGATATTTAAATCCCTCTCGAAGATGACATGTGAGGATTGAACCGAGATCCTTTTCTTTCTACTTACTCAACTCACTTACTATCATTTAATAGAAACATTTCATTCTAAAATACTTAAATGCTACCTTAATATTTACTTCATATAGAGTTTGTCTTAAAAGAAAAGGTGTAAGAAGGCTAAAGTCTTAACAATTTGTAAATTTATTTCACAAAGTAAATATTTTAATTGGATTTTCTATCTGATAAAACTGGAATTTTAAAATATTGAAAGTCGTTACACCTTAATCACATAAATTTAAAAGGGGGGGGGGGGGGTTATGGAGTAATCCTTATATGTAGGGGTGATAAACAAGTCAGGGGCCTTTGGCTCGGCTCGTGAAGGCTCAGGCTTACATGCCTAATATTGGTTGTTGGAACCAGGCTTGGACTTGTATAAAAGCTCGTTTAGTAAAAAGGCCTTAGGCTTCAATTCAAAAGCTCGGCCTTGCAGCCTCTCAGGCTGACCTAGTATATTAATTTTTATTTTTATTTATATTTTTATACTATTTGTAATAGCCCTCTTTCTCCTCTCAATCCATTTCACCCCTATTTTATTAGTTAAACAGACTTTTTGAATGATTTTGTTCTATATTATGTGTTTTCGATATACATTGAATTTATGAATATTTATGGAATTACTAGTGTTGTTGATTGTATATTCTGTTTGGATAAATTTTTATTGTCTTATTTTTTTCTAACAGGCCAAATCAGGCTTTTATTTTTTGTAAATAAGGCATGCCACATGCCGATAATTATATTCGTAAGAGGTAACAGACTTGATAAGATCGACACATTTAATCACAGACTTAGTCTTTTAAGACCAAAACTCGGCTCAGCTTGGCGTGTTAACACCCATACATATATGTTACTAAAACAATAAAAAAAATAGATACAACGGTAATCTTCCCTCTATTGAATACATCGTGGCAAAGTGTTTTTCCCATTTTTGAAAAGGGAAATATTATCCGAAAGAGAGTGAAGAAAGAATTTCACATTTCATTATTAACCATTTTGGTGTTCATCCTTAATACGGTCTCATCGCAATTCTACTTCTTACTATTTACCAAATAGATTCTTAATTTATATTTGAGAAATAATTTTTCTTATGTTGTAGGAAAATGCTTATCTTATGTTGTAGAAACAAGATTGCAAGTGAGACCCATAGATAAGAGGAGAGAGAAAAAAAAGAAAAAAAGAAATGGGACCCACCTAGCTTTTGTGTGTGTAAGAAATATAGTTATCTTATGTAAAAGTAGATAAATATAACCCTTTATATTTATCCCCTATGTTTTACCATAGTCATGTCAATTTTTCATAGCTTTCTACTTCCATTAAAATATATGTAAAACCCGTACTACTTTCTTCTAATAAAAAAATCAAGCGATTTGAGTTAGTTTGTATGCTTGATAAATATAGCGAGTAACAGTATTAATCAGTATTATTATTATTCTAATTTGAGGTGAAAGTTTAACATTTGAAGCATTTCTTTAGAAATAAAATGATTGCCTGTTAAAGTTAATTTATCTTTATTTTACCAGTCTGTTAAGTTTTCCGCTGCAACAAATACTCTTTCTTATTTATTTATTTAACTATTTTAGTTAAGAAGATGCTAAATTTTCTGACTAGGTGAATTCAATTGGTTCATTGTCATGTCCCATCATATAAATGCCCATAATATATCTGTAAATACATACAGCATAGCATATGTTAATAAATCTTATAACTGGCCTAAATTAAATAATATTGGGTGATTATTAAAAATATGGGTAAGATTATTTTATGGGTTTGATTTTTATGTAGTAGGAAATAAAATTATTTTCTACATACATATAAAAGTGTACGAGGCTCATGTAAGGCTATGTGAAGAGAAGAGGGAGAAAAAAATATGAATCTCACGTACTTTTATATATATGTAGAAAATAATTTTATCTTCTATAACATGAGAAATAGTAAGTTCTTATTTTATATCTTATAATTAGCACTTTTAATTTTAACCGTTGATTTTATTTATAACTAACAACTTTAATTTCTTATATAGGTAAGCAATTAAATGCAAATAAATCAATAATTAAGATTGGATATAAACTTTTTTATTTTTATGTCAATATAGGTTGATATCGTCGCTTAATATATAAATACACACACTAGTGCATTATTCTATATAAACGATTCTCCAAACAGAATAATGTAGGTCAAAGCACTAATGTGAATGAATTATAAATCTACCTAACTATGGAAAGTTGAATTAATAGCTATATACAAAAAATTTATCTGAAATTTAAACGAAATATAGTTTATCATACTAAACAAAAAAAAAAAACCTCATATTTAGTTTTATTTTATTTTTCGGTAAACTAGTTTTATTTTATTATATTTAGAGAACATGATACAATATAATATAAGAATTTAATTTTAACATATTGTTATCAATATAGAAAATTTATAATATTATTTTACAATATATTATAATATTTTAATTATATTCAATAATATATAATATATTAAATTCATTAAATAATTTGATAACACATTACTAAATTACAATATGAAAATTTTTTCTTATAATTTATAACTTCGTGCATGTAAAAAACCAGAACTGTTTTAAAAAAAAAAAAAAAAAACCAGAACTTTGTGGTATATAAAATACATTCTAAATACCTAATTGGAGCAGATTATGAATCATTAAAAATTCTTATTGAATATTTTTAACAAAAAATAAATTCTTATTGAATATTTAATTTTCATTAAAATCTCCGAATTATTTGTTTTTGTAATATATATTAATTGCATCTCTCTATTATATTCTTATTAATTGATTTGAATCATTTAAAAAATTAACCCGAATTTATAGCAAATATATAATAATTTTATCAAACTAATTTACACCAACTTCTTAACAAAAAAGAAGTTTATAATCATATCAACCTCACACAATCCACAACAGGAAAAATAAAAAATTTAAGTAACAAACTTTATTCCAAATACTTCCAAGTTCCAAGCCAGTTATAAATCCGCAAACAACCATACCCAAAATCAAAATTTTAATTCATCAAACTCACTAAATCAAAATTAACATTAAAAAAAAAAACGACAACAGCATCACACTACACGACACAACATTTGAGCCCCAAAACAAGAAATAAAAAAAATTAATACAACAAAAGAGAGAAATATTAAAGAAGATAGTTAAAGGGTTTAATATCTCTAATGAGATAAAATTATCTTCTATACACACATAAAAATCTTAAGTGCTCATATTTTCTCTTTTTATTCTTCTCTTTACATGATGTTATATGAGTCTCATATATTTTTATATGTATTGAAGATAAAATTATCTCAGTAACATAACAACATCAAACCCATACTTAAAACATGAAATACAGATAAACGCATCAATTGAAGAGGCTTTTTTTTTTTTTTGTACACGAGATTTAATTTACAACATAGTCGCATATTTTATACGGTTAGCCACCACACCACCCTCTTTCTCTGTCCCAACTTGTAAGTTATCTTACACAATACACACCACTTTCACCTTTCCTTCCCGTCGCCGGTTACCGGCAAAACATGTTTTGACGGCGTATCAATTCCGTTCAATCATGCGGCGGTTCCGTACCCGAGATCCGGTTTTTCTCTGCACTTCCAGGTACCCCCCACATTTATTTTTCTCACTCATCCCCAGTTTTGAAATTCATCAAAAAAAAATTTCTTTTTTTGGTTCGGATCCGATTCCGGTTCATGCTTCTTGAATCGGATCAGAGCAAACCCTTCAACTCAAAATTTGTTTTTCTTTTTCTTTTTCTGGGTGATGTTTTTCCTTTGCATGCAAATTTGTTCCATTTTTTTCCCTCTGTTTATTTTATTCCTTGTTATGAATTCGCAGATGATTCTGTCTCTGTAGCTGGAAATTAGATTAGGAAAATCGCTGATTTTCTGGTGTTGCCAGAATTTCGAATCTTTGTCGCTTATTCATTTAGTGTTGTGAATCTATATTTCGTTTTCTCTTTTTCCTTTTTTTTATCTGAGGTTATGGTTTTCCAGTTGATGTACCAATAGGGTGAAGTTCTGTAAAGGGGCGATTGGTTAGCATAAGGTGATTACAGATTCCTAACTAAAGTTTCTAAATTTGATGGAAAGAAGACATGGATAGAAATTGGTTGCGTGCCCTTGTTGGGATTTACTTTGTGGGTATATGCTGCATATGAAGGGATTGTCAAGATTTTTTGTTGGGATACACTGAAGATTTGTTAACATGGCGAAAAGAACATGTTTGGATTGTTCCTTGCTGGAAGATGAAGAGAAATTGGATAGCCTTGTGAATACTAGGGATGGAGTGAATGATGGTTTTTCTAGAATTGGACCAAATGATTCACTTCTTCCTGGTCTTGTCGATGATGTTGCACTGAATTGTCTTGCTTGGGTTAGTAGATCTGATTATGCTTCACTAGCATGCATAAATAAAAGGTACAACTTGCTGATTAGTAGCGGGTATCTATCTGGGTTGAGGAAGAAATTGGGAATTGTGGAGCTGGAGCATTTGGTTTATTTGGTTTGTGATCCAAGAGGATGGGAGGCATTTGACCCCAAGAGAAATAGATGGATAACATTACCTAAGATGCCTTGTGATGAGTGTTTTAACCATGCAGATAAGGAGTCCTTGGCTGTGGGGAGTGAACTGTTGGTTTTTGGCCGGGAATTGATGGATTTTGCCATTTGGAAGTATAGCTTGATTTGTCGCGGTTGGGTGAAGTGCCAGGGGATGAACCAACCTCGCTGCTTGTTTGGATCTGGCAGTCGTGGTTCAATTGCTATTATTGCTGGTGGAAGTGATAAATATGGAAATGTTCTACAATCGGCGGAGTTGTATGACTCTTCTTCTAGTACATGGGAACTGTTACCAAACATGCATACGCCGCGTAGATTGTGCTCTGGTTTTTTTATGGATGGCAAATTCTACGTGATTGGTGGCATGTCAAGTCCTACTGTTTCATTGACTTGTGGGGAGGAGTATGATCTTAAGACTAGAAATTGGAGGAAAATAGAGGGTATGTATCCATATGTTAATGGGGCTGCTCAGGCTCCTCCACTTGTGGCGGTTGTGGATAATCAGTTGTATGCCGTTGAGCATCTAACCAACATGGTGAAGAAATATGACAAGGAAAAGAACACTTGGAATGAATTGGGAAGGCTTCCAGTGCGGGCTGATTCTTCTAATGGATGGGGGCTGGCTTTCAAGGCTTGTGGAGAGAAACTTTTGGTTGTGGGTGGACAAAGGGGTCCAGAAGGTGAAGCTATTGTACTGAATTCATGGTCTCCTAAAACAGGGGTCGGGAATGGAACCATAGATTGGCAGGTACTTGGTGTGAAGGAGCATGTTGGGGTGTTTGTGTACAATTGTGCTGTTATGGGTTGGTCTGGTGAGATGCTTTTAGATTGACTCAACAGAAGATTCTGGTATCTACAATCTGACTTAGCTTTGAAGGACGCTTCCGTGTTTACTAAGTTAATTGTGGCTGGGATAGCTTTCCATTGATAAGAATTTGGGTTTCTTCTTTTAACATGGTTTATTTGGATGTGTTTCTCACTTCGATGATCCATATTTTTATTTGCTTTTGAGATTACTGAGTAGGCTTACACAGATATGTTCTGTTATCTTTTTCTTATCCAACTATGTAAACCAATAAATCAAGGAGTTTTATTTTTTAATGCTTCGAAGCTCATTCTTCGCTGCTTTGGTCCTGTAATGTATGAAATATTTGTCATAAATTTTGTCCTGTATTTATGCCTTGTGGAATAATTTTTGTGTGCTGGGGGGAAGGGGGGTTGCTTATCTTTCTAGAGTGTTTCAGAACTAAGTTTCTATGGAATATGGGTTGTGGACTGTAGCTGATGCACTCAGGAAAGTTGAATGACGAAGATTGTTCCCATATTAGGCCAATGATATTATATAGCTACCAATCTACCTTCATACTTGGCTCAAAATTCAGATGTCATGTTGCAAGCTTAGGTGAAAACAAGGTTATCAACGTATTTGAACTCTCTTTTTTCCCCTTGTTATTTATGATGTTATGGAAAATGAGGTCCCCTCAGTTCTATGATTTGTTTTTCACACCTTGTCCACACTTCCAGCTGTACTTCCTGGATTGAGATATTGATTTTATCTTCATGTTTTTTGTATAGCATCCACTTTCTACAACTTGACCCAGAAATGATTCTCTTCATTAATAAGGCTGTATAACTGTGAGTCTGGGACCATTCTTTATTATCTTAACTAACAAACATGTTTAGAAATCATAAGAGAAGGCTCAGTGCAATGGCCATTTTATTTATTCAGCAATGATAGTTTACAGTTATACTCTACAATGAATCTGTCTTTTACTCAAAAAAATTGCACCTTAAGCTAAGCTTATTATGCTAGCCATTTGTTGGTAATACATTGGTGTCTGTTTTCAGTAAGTAATTTGGAATCCTTTTGTACCAACTGGGTGATGCGTGTATATCCTAGAAGCTATAATGATATATGTGCCAATCGATCCAAAGGGGATTGTATCAATTTTCTTGGACTTAAAATGAAGGGAATAAAAGAAGTGATAGAAAGTTACATCGTTACAAATTTTAATTAACTACTTTAAATGGTAAATTCGTGTTTACATGGTTCTTCAATTTGCTTGAAGTCTCTAGTACGCATAAATCTCTGACTCACTTTCTGTTGCTTTTACACTGATGATTATAACAAGAAACTATATAGAACGTTACATAGTACTAGTTCCGTGGAAAACGCTAATGCTTACTGAAGATTATGTTGGTAGTGACATTGGTTGACATTGTGGGCCGAGCCAGAAATAAAACTTGGCTAGTGCTAAAAGATTCAATCAAATAAAATTCAGTCAATATTAAAATTGTATTATTTTTAAAAACTCAATTAGTATTAAAGTTGTATCATAATTTTTTTAAAAAAATTATATCATTTTTAAAAATTAATTAATGCCAAGGCACCACCTGATCAACAAGTATCTCCGCCACATGACACCTAACGTGAAGAAAATGTACACATTAGCATGTTGGGAATAGAATCCTTTCTGTCTGATAATGTGGTAGGGCTACTGCCACTATGCACCGGGCCTTCCTTTAGCTGTTGGTTTCTTTTCAACTTGGAGATTCCAAAAATAAAAAAGTTAGGAGTTTCATAAAGTATCAATTCTTTTTTCAAGTGAATAAAATAAGACATTTCTTTTGATAAAAATAAAAACAAAAACAGCCATTTTGTTTGTTGAAAACCAGGTTCCTTTCACCACTGAACTTTACTCCAAAAAGATTTCAACTTTTTGTTTCTTTTAATTTACTACAACATATGGCAAAACAGAGGGGTGGGGGAATTTCAATGGAAAAATTTGTTAGCCATATAATGATGTATATGATGCATGTAACCAAAATTAAATTTAGTTCTTGCCCTGCCTACAAAGCAGGAAATATCAGTACTTTGATTCCCATTAATATTATCTTTGGAAGGAAATTTTCTAAAGTGATCCCGGCCCATGTTCTTTAAGGTGATCCTTTCCTATTTTTGGAAAATTTTGTTTCCCTCTCACTCCCTCTCTTTTTAAAGAATTCCCTCTCACTCCCTGTTTTTTACTAATTCTGGATAGGGACCATGTATACCCGGCCCATCAAAATAAACCTCTTTTGGAAGGGATATAAGATCTTAATTCCAGACTCGACCCGTACTCAGAATTAGTTCCATAACCGATTCAAAGAACCGAAGCTTATGGAATACCGAGGGGGCCTAGTTGCCTAATTAGTGTAACTATCGTAAAAAAAAATGGAATAAAACGGAGGCGTATTACTCAACCAAATTCAAGTTCAAGAGTTTCTTTGAGGGCCTCTCATGAGTCCCACCAAAAGGGACAACCGAAATCACAAAAATTCCAAACATAAAAAGTACCACTCATGCTCACACAAAATGTTTTGATCAGAGCAAGAAAATTAAAAAGTCTGCAAGAAATTTTAAAAAATGCAAAATAACATAATAAAGTCCCAAAAGAAGCCTCCAATCCATTGTCACGAGAAAGCTAAATGACCACTGCTTTTGCTGCCATTAGAGAACAATCACTTCAATTTGAGGAGGCACATATTGTTTCAGACCATCCGCATACCATTTAGCAGAGCCATGACGCCGTTTTCTAATCCAGGCCCGAACATCATCGGGTGAAATATCCACATAATATGAAGAGAGAGGATCCACAACAATCTTGTTGAGATTAGGAGCATTCTCAACTATGCTAATCAGCAACTCAATTTGACTTGTGTCTCTTCTATATCCTGATACTCCCAACTCTTTCAGGTTTGGGAACTCACCTTTTAGATTAGCTTCCCACTCCTCCTCCTCCTCAGGCTTCATATTGCACCTAAGGAACTGCCATATCACACACACACACACAGCTGAAACTGTGATTGATATTAACATAATTCTTATTGTACTGATATCAGCATATACATGCAGCATCATCAATGATATGAAAGTGTAGTGCATATGAAAGAGCAATATATCACTATATAATTAGACAAAAACAAATGGGGCTGAAGTTGAAGACATCACAGATAATCAAGCTTGCAACAATGAAATGGAAGTTAGAGATAAGGGTGGACAAGGTTATTTTTTTATTTTTTATTTTTTCGGAACCGAACATAAGAAGGGTCGTTTCATGTAACATGAGAAGTATAAAATCCAATTTGATTCTAAAAAATAATTAGAGATATTGGATTATTCTTACCTTCACCTTAAGCACACATATTGAAGGAAATGCACTCAGTAAAGAAAGAGCACGATCCATCTTCCCTCCACATGTATGAGGAATTTGCAGCTCCAAATGCTTCACATTAGTGAACTCAGGTAGGCCTTCAAGAATTCCCTGAATGTGGATAACAGCATATGAACCATATTGATCAAAAGAAAACAAAAAAAACAAAACAAAACAAAATAAAATGTAATCTACTTAATTACCAACCTTATCATGGGGAAACAGGTCCAATTTCAGAACATTTAGCTGAGAGATTAACCCAAAAAGATCAACATTGTTCATGTTTGGTTGCAGGTAACTAGAATACCGTCCTCCAAAGGAAGCTTCCACAAGGTTTGGGACACTTTCAAAGTTGAACCTTCCAAAACCTCCAGAGTATCTAAATGTCATGAGATTCTCAGCAGAAATGTCTAGATGTATAATCTTGACTTCAACCAACTCCAAATGTTTCAGCTTCAAAGCTTGACCAGAAACTTTCAAGCGTAAAATGAAACTTTTGGATTCAATGACACACAATGTTTCAAGAGATGGACAAGTTGCTAGAAAATGCTCAATAACCTCACCAGTCACGTCCACAGCAGACAAACGAAGCACACACAGTGACTTCATTTCAAAACTTGTTGATGATATCACATTGCGAATCTTCTCGCTTATTTCGAAGAACGTTGTTGTGAAGTTGTAAAAGAAATTCAGCTCAAGCACTTGAACATTCTTCTCAGCAGCAAACTTAACCCATTGAGCTACCTTTTGAGGGTTACCCAATTCCATGCAAATTCTCAGTCCTTGCATAGTTGGACATTTCAGTGATTTCAAAACATGTTCCAAATCACTCATGAATTTCTTCCACTCAGAGACAAAAACAATGGATTTTCTTAAAGGGTTAAGCTTGTTTTGTCGACGCAAGTTATAATTCTTAAGTGAATGATCAAAGTTCACTACCCCAAAGAAATAGGTCCATTGATATCTCCACCTTGTTGATAGGATGCTAGTCCTACCAGCTTCTTTGATTGTTAAACGAGATAAAATGTTCGAAATGATTTCATTTGGCATTGTGCTTATGATGTCCTTCTTCTCCATTCTCTTCCCCTGCATCATTTTCTGACAACACCCCTTAAATGAATATAATTCAGCAAACAAAATACGTCATATAATTGCATTAAGAATAAATGAGTAGAATATTATGGAACTAAGCTACTTTGAAATCCATGCTATTTAGAAACCAATAACTTCTATATGTTTCATTTGCTTTGATTTTCTCTTACTGTCATTCAATTAGTGGTGAAAAAAAATAAATTAACGCAAATCAAATGGTCACAACATAATAAAATACTTCTCATGTAATATGAGAAGTATTTTTCCTTCATATATTATCAATAAGGGAATAATCCATTTATAAACTTTTTGTTTATAAACTCTTACAAATTATACTATGTAATTCCAAAAATATATTATTATTAACCGAATGTAATTCCGGAAATACATAATGTAATTTGTAAAAATTTGTAAATAAAAAATTTATAAATATAATCATTTCCTTATCAATATTACATACTAAAATAACAACTTTTTGTTGTAAATGTCTAATCAATACAATCAAAGCTAACATGTTTAACTGTGCAGTGTATATTATAAATACAAGTAAATTAATGGCCAATAATAAATGTAAGAGTATCCGTGTAAAATTATAAAAATAATATGCCCCCTAAAAGAATAATGCTAAATACACATATTAATAGACTCATCACTTTACATTTATAAAGTTTATATAAGTAATCATATTTTGTTTTAGGGAAATATAAGAATCATGTTGCAGGAATGACACTGTTTATTCCTGCAACAAGGATCTGGCAACGTATCTTGAGGATACGGCGCCATATCCTGATTTTGGTTTGACTTTTTTTTAAGCGTGGGACCCACACTTGATTTGTGTGTGCAGGAAAATAGTCTTGTCATGTGACATAACAAAAAACAAACCCTTTGTTTTATATACACCTACTCTAATTTATGCAAAAGTGAAATGATATGCATGATGCATCATAGCACCAAACATTATTTTTAAAAGAGATTACGATCTACAAAACACGTTGACCTAATATACATATATATATATATATATACACACATATATATGTATATATGGAAAAAGTTATATTTACAATCTATTTTTATTTACAATCTTTTACAACCATATTTTAATCATTGATTTCCGCCAATCAACGGCTATCATTCATTACGAATTAATAATTAATTAATGAGTTTGATTTGCGAAAATAATAACCGCTGATTGACGGAAATCAACGGTTAAAATATGATTGTAAAAGGTTGTAAAAAAAAGGTTGTAAGTATAACATTCCCCATATATATATATATATATATATATATATATATATATATATATATATATATATAGGTAAAATCATTTATGCAGCCGCTTTATGTACAGCAACGACAGGTGTATGGTTATGATTCCTCACATTTAATGTTTTCATCCTTTGTATGGTTATGATTCCCCGCATTTAATGTTTTCAAGTATATATATGGCAAGTATTTGATTGCTATATGTACAGCAGCTGCAGAAATGTAAATCTTATATATATATCTATATATATATATATATATATATATATTATAGAGGTCAATAAATATACGATAAAAAATAAAACCATTATCAATAATAAATGCTCGTAAATACTTAATTAAATAGAAATTTAAAAATATTAACTTAACTGAATTAGTAAATAGGTCAGAGACCATCTCTAATAGCTTGTTATCTAGCTGATTTTGGTCATCAGGGTCCCAAATTTACCTGGAGGAGGGGTACTCTTTCGGAACGGCTTCATCACGCCTGTGCTAATGAAAGCTAGAATGTGTCCTTTCCAAATAGAGTTATGTATTATCTCCCTTATTATAGTTCTGATCACCGTCCAATATTGCTCTGTGAAGGTCAACACTCTTTAAACGTAAATAGAGAGAAGCCTTTCAGATTCTTGGCGGCATGATTGTCCCATAACTCATTCTCTGATCTAGTCAAAGAAAGTTGGACTAGAGAGTGTAATTGGCACTTAGCGAGCAATCACTTCCGTGAAAAAGCCATCTCTTGGCACATGGATTGCTTCAAGGAAGAGGAGAGGAAAAAGAATAAGCTCCATGCTCGCCTCCGAGGGATTGATCGCAGTCTAAGTTAGCAGCCTTGCCTTGCTTTAGAAAGTCTTCAATAGGAAATTTGGCAGCAATTAAATGAAACCTATCTCAGAGAAGAGATTACTCAGTACTAACGTGCTAGATCTGACTGGATTCATTTTGGAGATCATAATTCTAAATTCTTCCATTCGGCAACAATTGCTAGGAGAAGAAGAAACAAGATTGATGCTCTGCAGAATGATGCGAGTCATGACCATGGCAATGGAATACTACAACAACTTGTTCAAAGAGGATAACCACTTCCGTCTTTTATTTCCCATAAGGAACAAATTTCCCAAACTGGACAGGAGGGTACTTCAGGTGTTAGAAAATCATCCTAGCATTGAGGAGATCAAAGGTGTTGTTTTCTCTATGGGGCCTTATAAGGCGTTAGGTGTTGATGGCCTCCATAGTATATTCTTTCAAAGTCAATGGGATTTAGTGGGAAATTTTGTCTGTAATTTTATCCAGGATATCTTTAGAAATCCCCAACAAATTGAAGAAGTAAATCAGACTCTTCTCTGCTTGATCCTAAAAATAGGGACACCTTAAACATTTAAGGACTTTCACAAGATTAGCTTATGTAATGTAATTTATAAAACGGTAACTATAGTTATTGTTAACTGTTTTAAATGCAGATGGAAAAACTGGTGATGCCTAACAAGTGCAGCTTTATCAAAGGGATATGTGGCATTAATAACGTCATAATTTCCTGGGAGTTGATTCACTCAACGGACTAGAAGGGGATCTAAAGGGTGGATGACTATCAAGGTGGACCACGAAAAGGCCTGTGATATAATCAACTGGGAATTCCTCGAAGATACCCTATATGGCATAGGAATCCCTACTAGTCTGATTAGGCTTATTATGTGGTGTGTTTCTTTGTGCACAATGAACTTTCTTTGGAATGGGACTTGCACTCAAGAGTTTCATCCCAAAAGAGGATTGAGGCAAGGAGATCCATTATCTCCTTACCTCTTTGTCCTTTGTATAGAAAGGCTAACTTATCTTATCAATTATGCTGTGGAGCAAAAAAGTTAGAAGCCAATGGTGATCTCCTCCAATCTCCCATTTATTTTTTGCTGACGATCATCTTTTGTTTACAGAAGCTACTCAAGAGCAAATCACTATAATACAACATATTCTTCATACTTTTTGCAGTTCCTCTGGGGAAAAAGTTAACCAGGGAAAAACTAAATTCTATTTTTCTCGTAACGTAAGGCACACTAAAGTAGGAGAGATTAGTCATAATCTGGGGTTCTATCTTACTGTGGATCTTGGCCAATGTTTAGGCATCCCTTTACATCACAAGCAAGTGGACAGATCATCATTCTCCTATACGTTGGATCACCTTCATTCTAAAATGAGTTCTTGGAATCATGCCAGTTTGTCCCTCGATGGTCGAGTGACATTATCAAAAGCGGTGTTGACCGCTATTCCATCTTACCCGATGCAGGTAAGCATATTTTCTCACCACCTGTGATGAGATCGATGCAAAGATCTGAAGCTTTGTTTGAGGCTCTTCTTCAAAGACTAGGTGTCTTCATCTTGCAGATTACAATCAAGTTTGCTTAGATAAAAATCATAGTGGCTGGGTCTGCGTAGTATGAGAAAGATGAATTCAGCTTTTATCATTAAGGTTGGGTTTAACTTTCTCACTTACCCTGATACATTATGGTCCATGGTCCTGCATGCAAAGTATAAAGTAGAATACGATATGATGCCCTATATTAACGCCCCAAACACTAACTCTCGTTTGTGGAAGGGAATCAAGTGTCATTAGTACGTTATCCTGGACAGTAGTCGAGTCTTAATTGGTGATGGAAGATCCACTATGTTCTGGCTTGATAATTGGTTTCCTGAATGTGGCCCTTTGGTAACCTATGCATTGTCGCATGTTTCTGATACAGACTTGTTGCAGTATGTGACAAACTACGTGGATGCATTGGGTTGTTGGAAATGGGATTCTTTTCATAACTTGTTTCCTGGCTACATCGTCCAGCATCTCTTGAATTTTCTTCCTTCCTCTGAGCAAGATGGTAAGGACCACATTATTTGGAGGGAGATAGTAGATGGTGTTTTCACTCTAAAGTCAGCTTATGATTTGTTAAACATAACACAACTACAATTCAAGCTCGTCAATGGGACAACATTTGAAAGTAGGTAGGACCGGAAGGAGTTTATATGTTCCTTTGGTTACTAGTTGGAGAAAAGCTGCTAACTAATAATCGAAGGCTACAACGTCACATAACCTCTTCAGTTGTTTTCCTTCGATGTAATATTTCATGCGAAACTATTCTCCATGTTATCCGTGATTGTCCTCAGTCGATGGAGGTTTGGAGGATGGTGGTGCATCAGACTAGTTGGTAGGTTTTCCTCACGCTTAAGATGTATGACTGGATTTTCTCTAATTTGAAAATTTGAAGAAGCTTGGGAATGGACGCTGATTGGCCTATACTTTTTGGGATATTAACGTGGAGCATTTGGAGGAGAAGAAAAACGTGGGTTTTTGAAGGAAAACATCATAGTGCCTATATAATTACCCACTCAGCCTTGGGGTTTAGGAATAATGTCATGCAAGAAGCAGCCACCCTTCATGCAACAAGTCTTCAACCGAGAAACCGTGTAGAGAAGATGATAGCCTAGACATGCCCTCTATTAGGCTAGGTAAAACTTAAAGTTGATAGGGCTAGAGCTAGTAATGGGATCAGAACCAGTTCTGGAGATGTTACTTGAGACCCAACCGAAGCTTGAATTATCGATTTCTACAAGAACTTGGGGCCAGGTACTGTCTTGCATGCAGAATTGTGGGCTTGTTTGGAAGGATTGCATTTAGCATGGGAAAAAAGATTTAGAAAAGTATGGCTGGAAGAAGATTCTCTCTCAGTCCAGCAGAT